ATTACAGATTACAATTCCATGAATTGTGACCTTAATCTCATAAAAATACCGTAGAATCTGGTTAATGGACATCCACATTTATAACACTCTTTACTTTATTAATGTTTTAGTAATTTTCTTATATGTATGATGTATGACAAGTATCTTTAGACTTCTTGGATTTTTTTTTATGCAAATTAGAACATGAAAAAAAAAATGTCTTTGAGTTCTGAATTCTTCATAAATCAAGGAGCGCCCAGGACAAATTATAATTTTTTTTGTCATAAAAGTAAAAGGGATGTATCTAAATAAAATTGTAAAGGAAAACATTTGTATGTGATTTAGATATATCACAAAGTTTATTACTTAATACTCGGTTCACCTACCTTGACCAGACTAACATGAACTCAAAATCTTATATAAGAAAAATAAATAATCTTACTAAGGTGACATTTGGTTCATGGATTAGAACCATGTGATTAGAACTATTTTTGATTTACGTGTATTTTTTATAAGAAAAAATACTGTAACGAATCACGAATCATGATTCGAATCAGGAAACGAATCTAGGTACCAAACATCCTCTAAGTGACCTATTGTTCCTATACTTTTTATATTACACAAATTTTACTATAATTAAAGGTTGATCCAATCTAATTATGACCACTTATCAGGGATATCTTTTATACAATTCTGAAGACACTAACTAAGACCAACTTAAGAGTACTTTGTTAACTATAAGTAAACATAATTAGGAGCTTCAAAGGATTAAGAAAAGGAAAATGTTGAGCAACTAAGCAAGCTAGTTTCAAAGTGGCGTTTGGCATTTTTATTTTTTTTTATTTTTTTGGGAATTCTCATTTTTGGGCAAAATATGAGTTCATGTGTTATTTTTAACTCAAAATTAAAAAAAGCTTTGAAGTGACTAAACTGAAGCCCCCAACTTCTAATGGATGCATGCATCAGCACAGAGGTTTTAGTGGGCTTTTGGATGCCCTTGAAGCTCCCATGCAACTGACCTTAACTGTACCATAAAAATTTAAAATAATACATTTTTTTCCTTACAAAATTTTTTTTCTTTGTCAGAGCATTACATTATGTTAACCAAATGCAGAACATCTGATGGCTCAAAATGATCCATTGTTGCAATTTCGTTAACTGAAAACAGGACCACAATAATTCCAAAAAAAAAAAAAAAAAAAAAGGACCACACTATTGAGAAGTTAAAACGGTCAGTCTCTTTAGCATATATGTCATAATCTTCATCAAATTCACACACATGTAAATGTAGATCAATATTTTGACTTTAAGCACATGAATTAATTTTGGAAACAAAAAAAAGTGTTGGATTACATATCATATATGTGCTTTAGTACTTTACGTATGTTTTTTTTTTTTTTTTTTTTGGGGGGGGGGGGGGGGGGGGGAGAAAAGGGGGGGGGGGGGAATGGGTGCAAAAGTGGATGTGGATCCAAATTATCGTAATCATAATCATAATTAATACAAATTGAGAAAGTGTTGGCTTACATTGGCTTGCATTGTTTCATAGAGTGAGAGTAATTAATACTAATAACGTCCCTAGTACTTGAAGGCTTATAGAAATCCGACAGGAAATAACAGACATATATGTGTTTGATTTCAAAGGAACATTAGTTCTAATCCAACAACTGAAAGTCACGCTTGAAACCTTAATTACAGACATATATAATATCATTTGAATAAAGAAGCAAAAAAAAAAAAAAATATGCCGTGTATAAAAAGTTCAACAAACATTAGTATATGCTAAATATTATTAATATTACAAAGCGGCAAAAGATTAACTCAATGATTAGTGTGGAGCCCATTCTGTTAATCATGTTGTAGCGTTACATGAACATGACGAATTATAATGATAAAGAAAGGCCCATAATTAAGGGTCACTAATGATGATTAATGAAAGATAAAAAAAAAAAAAGGAAAAAAAAAAAAAAAAAAAAAAAAAAAGAAAGAAAAAAGAAGAAGCAATTTGTTTTTCTAATCATTAGCAACCCTTTTTGTTCTACAAACGAACCCAAAAATATTTATGTCCAACGAGAATACAAAGCTAGGTTTGAGGGACACAAATTAAACAAGGAATCAAACATAGTTGACTAGGATGTTTCTGTTTTTGGGGTTTTAATTTTGTTTGCCATTTTGTTCAAGGCTGGGTGGGGGCAAAGCAAAAAGGCAAGAAAGCAAGGCAGCAGCAAATATTGGGATCTTTTCTTGATCATGTTTTGGGTGACACAGGTGGGAAAATAGTCTTCCCCAATAAGAAATCAAAGATGCTTAATTAATTAGCACAAATCTTATTCTAGCTCTCGTGACGTTTATTGTCTCTCTAATCATTTTTATATCATATGGTTTAGTGCAAAGGGTGCCCAATAATCTAATTGGTTTGTGAGTCAAATCTCTCTCATCCACATTTAATCAGATCTTGTCTCAAGTCAAATTGCTCTCTTTATCTCTTATTCTAACTCGCCGATCTTTTTTCTTTTTCTTTTATGGGACAACCTTAATTGCGGCCGCAATACTATTCCTAGAAAAATACTACGAGCACTTGCGAGTGTTGCGGGTCCACAATGTAGACTATTCATTCTCGTGGGGTCATGACGGGACCCATAAATACCAACGACTTAGATCGTGCTCCGGTGATTATATATATATATATAACAATTAAGATGCAGGAATAGTAACCCTTGTATTTTTTAAGATACTTATAAATCATGCGTGTGTATGTTTTAGTGGAACCCCGTTGGTTCATTTCCAGTTTACCAAATTTTGTTACAAAACACAAAAATGGAATTTGAATTACCAGATCACCTCACATCTGCATAGGCATCTCTGTGTGGACCTTACAATTAATTGACCATTTCTTACCTCCTTTGACACAAATCTATCCCACTAGTGAATTTAGATTTGTTACTATTATATTATTCTAAACAGGTTAAGAAATAAAAAAGAGAAGATAGTTCCAAAATGTTCGGTCCAAGGTAAGAATTAATTAAAGCAATCGCAAATGGGACTGTTCTCAAACACATCTTATATATACATTATATAGATTTTTTTTTTTTTGTAAACCCAAACGCTTAAAACAAGGAACAAAAAGTGTGGTTTGGTTTTTGTCTTTTAAACAAGTGTGTAACTTAGTATTATATATTAATGCTCATCCCAAAGACTAAATAATAATAATAATTTTCTCATTTTATAATGGTAGAATAAACTAGTTTAGAAATCCATATAGATTATAGCATATATATATATATATATTATATATATAGTAAGATAATATAAAGAAAGCTCTTTTAAGATCTTGCAAAGGAATCAGTTAAGATAGTGTAGGCCAGAGGGAAATAAATTAAGGTAGACTAGTGGAGGGGGAAAACACCTGAGCTTCTTAATTAATTTACTTATTTATTTATAAGCAACTAAATATTAAATGCTACATATTTATTAATTATGCTCTGGAAGTCACTAAGGGCCAAAAAGAAAACACAGTGGAAATTGGTTTGAAATGTTCAAAAAAGGAAATCTGCTTACATAAGAGAGATCTTAGTTAAGGCCAAAAGGGTTAGCTTTAATGCTTTTGCTCTCCTTCTTTCTCTCTTCCATGAGATTCTTGAAAACTTTCAACTATTTTCTTTCTGTTTGTTCTTCTACTCTTCGAACTTTAACTGCTAAAAGTATTGGAATATTGGGAAATGAAAGGGAGGAGATCTCTATATAATTAAGGGGCATTGGGCTTTTAGCCATCAAGTTATAGTGACAAAGTGATTCTTTTTTGGTTCTCAAAAAGTCTTTGGAATCACCAATTTGCTTTCAAATTTTGTGGTGAAATTCATTTTCAAAAAATGTTACAACTATAGGCTTTTACTTAGAGCTTTATAATATAAAGCTCCTTATAGTGCCTCTATTGTTATAGTTATAAGTTGTTTTCTTAGAAGTTCATTACACTCCCAAAAAGACACTAGCTTAACAATTTGAGGATTTTGATTTTTCTTTGGTTGTACTTCTTAAAGCAGATTGTTCTTTTTTAAGTCACAATGCCATGATTTGTTTTAAATGTGTCCGTGGAACATAAATGCAAGCAAAAGTTGCCATGGTCCCGTGAGAAATGTTATTAATTTTGGAATGCCAGATTTCATTTCATCCTAACTAACAAATCTCTTCAGTTTGATTCACGGTGGTCAGCACATGTGCAGCCCAAAAGACGTAGGGCTGAAAAGAAGGCCCAATTAGTCCAGTTTAGGCCCATTTAAAAATGATGGGGCAGGCACAAGTTCTAGGCTGAAAAATCCAAAGCCCCAGGGAGCATGTTCTAGACTCCACGAATCAGAGGCCCCAGAGTGCACGACTTTTTTTGTTTTGACTGGAGTGGAGTAAAAAGGATATTAATTAAGAATTAAGATTAATTACGAAAACTCTTTTTAAATTTAACTTTTTGTAACATTTTATTCACTAATCTTTGAAACATAATATCTGACTCCATGAATAATAAAATGTTAATAAAAAAACTCCTTATGTAAAGTTTTTTAAGAAAAATTGACATGTAATTTGTTATTTTAAGGTATTTGATAGCTCTATTATCTAAAATTTTAGTTTGAATTTGAAATTTTAATTATGATTCATATTAAAAATTTTATGAATTTTTTTGGTAGAATAAAAAAAATAGAATAATTACAAAAATTCCTCATGAATTATATTCACTTAACACTTTGCCCCATGATCTTTCAATTAGTTTAGATTGAAATTAAATTTTAAACCATAAAATTATCAAAATACTATTAAAATAACAAATTAAATGTTAATTTCAGTTAAAAACCTAATGTAATTGGGCTTTTTTTTATTAACATTTTATTGTTCATGGAAAATAGATGTTACGTTTTAAAGATCATGAGATAAAATATTAATGTAATTTAAAGAGAATTTTTGTAATTAATCTTTAAAAATAAAGGATAAAAGTTGAGATTCAGAGTATTTGTTTTTTTTCTTACATCGGGGAACATGGGGAAATAAAAGGACACAAACTTAACTAAAAAGTTAAGTTAATAAATAGCATAATTATAGTAAATCCATATATACTACACCGCAAAATGTTAAAATGACCCCTACTCAAATTTCCTCCCTCCATCTCTTCCCATCTCTCTCTCTCTTCCAGAATGCCGGTAGTCAATGGCTGTAGTTCACCCTCACTGTCGCGAGGCTTAGCGGCGGTGATAATTGTCGCGAGTTTGCAACGGCTAGGTTGACTGGTAAAGTAAGGTCCTCTACAGAGATTAGTCTTTACAAGCCTAAGTGACGACATCTGGTAACGAAGGTAGCAGCGAGATGCAATATTTTCATATATATAGAGTTTTCACCTGTTACTAGTAAATAAAGGATTTATCAGGAAATTCAAGATTTATCAAAAGAACACAAATGTGTTCTTACTGGTAAACAAAGGCTTTACTAATAAATCCAAGATTTACGAGGAATACCAAAAAGAGCTTCCACAACCGACTGCCACATGCCGCATCATCTGGAGACATCGTCAGCATCACCAAGCTCTGAAATTAGCGATCTATAAAATCCAACCGTTCGCGTGTTCAATTAGCAGCTGCTCATAAGGGATGCACTCATTGACGGGTTGAAGAAGACGTCGCCAACCAAAAAGTCCTCTTCCTCGACCAAATAGAATTTTCATGAGCCCATGGTTGAGATCGCCATCAGTAATGGTGATGACGAAGAGCAACGCATTAACCAAGTCGTCACGATTGTCGGATCTTACATTTTCGGATTTCGTCAAGTCAACTAGGGACGAGGCTTGCCATGCGACGCTTACCATCACGACCTCGTTGATCTGAGCATAGACAGAAAGAAAGGGAGGGGGGCGGCTGGGGTGGTGGTGGAGAGAGAGAGAGAGAGATATCGTGAGTTTCAAACGTGTTTCTTTTTGAGTTTCAAATATGCATTGTTCTCATTATTTCTCTAAATCTTATAATTGCGTATATGTATATTTTATATATAGAAAATGTCTTTTAGCCCGTTGGTCATACCAATCTAGTAAATGTAACATATTTTGTTTAACACTCGATTAAATATGATATACCATTCTTAAAAGAGCGATCTACCATCATGTTACATGAAACTTACCTTATTGTTACCGTTTTTTTTTAAGTTACCTAGAAAATTTATTGTTAAAAATCTGAAACCAAGAGGAAAAGGAAAATGTTATTCTTCTTCTTCTTCAAAGTCCATGAGAAAATCAGTTAAGTTCTCTGAATCATCTATAGCCTCATCCAAAGACATGGGACCGTCCTTTGTTTTCTCCTGCAAGAAGATTAAGGAGAGAAATTAGATGTGTAACAACTAACACGCTTGAAATGCCAACAACAAGCAAGATTGAAATACTTGTAAAAAAATAAAATACAAAGAAAAACACGTTTGAAATGCTAAGAGCTAGCAAGCACATAAATATATGTGGGCATATCAACTATCTAGTAAGAAAATAATTTCTGTATTGTAGTCCCTGGAAGAGACGTAATGACTATAGGTTAACTAATGATATGCTTAGAATTAAAAGGGTATTAAGAATCTCTATTAATTCTTAGGGACCAATATGAAAGTTAAAATTCAACTGCATAATTATTTTTTTTCCTCTCCTTCAAACCCATAGTGCTGAATAATTGGGCATAAGGATTTCATGTTAAGCATCTTATGGTCTCTAGTTTTGTACGAGAAAATTCGATCCCCAAAATGTCCAATATTGCATCATAATCTAAACAAATTGGAATACATTGAAACTTACAAAAAAGGGCATTTGTCAATCCAAATAGTGTAGCTTCTTGCATCGGTCAAACTTTTTCTTCTTTTTATTTTTAGGAGAAAGTAAACAAATACCCCTTAAAAATGTATGAATCAAGATTTCTACTTCTTACTCTTGATTAATAACCTTTTTAGTCAAATAATTATACTAACAAAAAAATATTAATGAAGGTTAAAATCCAGTGATGCAATTTTCTCTTATTTTTTATTCTTCTTTATCCCCTAGAAAAAAAGCTTTTTCCCTTTTCTAGGCAGGCCCATTATACTAATCTGCCAAAACAGTTGTGGCCCAAATTGATGGACCGGACTCAACGGATGAATTAGCTGAATACTACTTCTAGAGAATCAGTATTTGACTTTACCACTTATGTGAAAAATATAAGCCTAATTTACACATAAAAGTGGTACGGGTGAATAAGGAGACTTAAAAACTGATACCCAGTGTAATTTACACTAGACTCAACCTAGTCTGCTGCGTGACGATCCAGGCCAGGCAGCCCAGACCATTTGCCCCTATAGGCCTATGTTATGAATTAGTTTTCATCCCCACCATCACCATCAATAACAAAGAAATGCCAAAACAATGTGTACTATACTAAACAGTATCATCTTTTTTTCCTCAAAAATAAAAAAATAAAAAAATAAAAAAAATAAAAACAGGATCACCTTTGATTTGCGAAGCTGAGGAGTGCTTTTCAAAACACTCCAGTTGCGCGTAATTTTCTTATCAACTTCTTCGTCAAGCTCAACCTCAGTATCACTGTCCTCTCCATCCTATCAAAAGTACCAAGGATCAAAGACAATGTCATTCTATTTAACATATAACCATATTAAAATGTATATCAAAAGATCCCATCCAAATCAAAAGGCAAATCAATATTAGTCCAAGTCCAACATAGGAGAGGTGATGAAACCTACATCGTTTTCGCCAATGTCAACAGCCCGTGCCATGGCTTCATCTATATCTGGTACCTGCTTTTATTGCAAAACAGGAGAAGTGAACACAAAGGAAAGTAATCAAATGAGATTTGAACTTACTAACATTACTCTCATATTTAACGCAAGATATGAGAAGGAAAAAAAAAAAAAAAAAAAAAACCACAGCAAATTTACATTCTCCACGCAAACAAGTAACTATGGAGTTAGTATGATAGATATACGACAGGTCTGTAATTTGGAGAAAAAATTTCATGGCAGAAGTGATCTTTTACATTAAAGGCTGAAGTGGCTAGCACTACTGAGGCATTTGAAGCGTGTCTAGTGTAGATGTGATTGCTTTCATTAGAGTCGCTGAAAGTATAGTCTTCCCAATGAAAAGTTTAGTACAAATTTTAGAGAACTAGATTGATTTTTTTTTTTTTTTAAAAAAAAAAAAAAAATAGTCACCTGAACTTCTTCAGTCTTCTCACCTGAACTTCTTCAGTCTTCTCTTTCGCCATAATTTTTTCAAGCTCTTCCCTCGAAATGATTTTGCCATGCTGATAGCAAGGGGCGCAAAAGTCAGAAACGCAATACATTAGATGAGAAACCAAGTGCCTAAGGAATTATTATTATTATTTTTCAAATTCTTTATAGCATGATCTTATACAAATGTATAGATGTATGTATGAAATAAATGCAAAACACTTGGTAAAGTTAAAGGACAATAATATAAGACAGGATCAAACTCAAGAGTATAACAACGAAAAATTTGCTTCCAAGTGGCTATTCTGCCACCTTATTATTTGCCGCTAATGCGCTTTATTAAGACGGTAACAGTTTCAAACTCATGGTCAAGCATTTTACTTGATGATCAAATTTACCCAATATGCATAAAGTTCACAAGATTGGATCTGGTCGTTAAGGTTTATGTTAAACTAGAACAAATGCTTATATCCATATCCCTGGATGAAGCATCAATTGACATAAGTGACCAGGGGATTTGAATAAAAGATTAAGCTAAGCAACTCCAAGTAGACTATCAAAAAAAAAATATGACGTCTGATGAGAAAGTCTTAATTTGTTCTGAATCTCTGATCCTCATCATGGAAAATAACACTAATGACAAATTGTTATCAGTAATTATGGTGTGCAGATTTTACAGCTTAGTAGATTAGGAGACAACGTGTATTACAGCTGTGTATATTTCCGGTGATTATGGTTGTATATTCTGGTAGTGAATGTCCCTGATTTATTGGGATTAGATCTTACGAGAATTCAGTTGAATATACAAGAAATTTCCCCACTTTTTGTCATGGTATCAGAGTTGAATGCTCTTTGGGAATCCTTCTAAATTTGTGGCCTGCATTGCCGCATAAAAAGTTTCTGGAAAAAGGTTCCAGTTCTTTTTTCCTTCTGGCCTAAATTGCCATTTCGTTTTCTTCTTTCAGTTCTGTTTTTTCGGGCCTGCTTTGCCAATTATTTCAGAACGTTTTTCTTCCTTTTCAAATCTGTCCTCTTAAGCCTAGATTTCTTTCCACTTCTGTCCAAAATTATGTCTGAAGTTTCCGAATCTACCAGCCAACAAACCTCTAATCCGACAGAAACAAATGAAATCATCAACACTGCAGCAGGAGATAGCAGAATATTCAACCAGGTTTACATCTCAATGGCAAAAACTATTTGAAGTGGTCTCAGTTTATTCGAACCTTCTTGAAAGGGAAAGGCAACTGAGGCACCGTTCATTTCGTTAATTCGAGTTTAAAATTCGAGTTTTGCTATAGTAAAAAGCTCTCACAAACAATCACATCTAACTTTTTTGCTACAGTAAAAAGCTCTCACATAAAATCACATCTCAACTCAAATTAAAAACTCGAATCAGCGAACTAAACGGGCCCTGAGTCATCTTCTTGAAACATGACCTAACCCAGATGATCCGAAGTTCGTTGCGTCAGATGAAGAAGATTCCATGGTGATGTCCTGGTTATGGAATTCGATGATGCCAAAAGTACAACAAGGGAGATTTGGGAGTATTGTAGGCAGACTGATTCTAAAGTCCGAGATGCTGTGCAAATCTATGAGATTAAGAGAAGTAGGGCTAACAATATAGGTCACGACACGACAAAACGACTCGAAAACGACACGAATTTCACGGGTTAGGGTTGAGAAAAAAGTTCGGGTCAGAATTGAGTTGACGTGAAATTGACACGAAAAATACGGGTCAATTTCGGGTTGGACCCACCTAACCCGAACACAACACGAAACTCGTAAAAAACTAAAAAATATTTTTTTTTCATTACATATTTTAGATTTTATTATGAACTTGTGATATCATGATAGTTATACTAAAAATTAAAGATTTTCAGAGGAAATGATTTCTTATTTCCTTTATTTAGTTTACAGTGAAGGCTCTCTTTAAATAGAGAGAACAAAAAAAATACAAATATGGTAATTTCTTATTACCACGTTTATTCTCCTAGAAACTACTAAAAATACTACAAAGAAATTAGGAAATAAACATAAAGTCAAAATACTAAATTGAGACACAAAATCCATGGGAATCACTCAGATATCCCCATGGAATCACATGGATTTCCTACACTCCCCTCAAGCTGGTGAATATATGTTGATCATTCCCAACTTGTCTGCTAGAGCTTCAAAACTTTGTCTTAGTAATCCTTTGGTCAGAACATCCGCAACTTGTTGAAACGAAGGCACATATGAAAGTTCTACTACTCCCTCATCAATCTTCTCCTTGATAAAGTGTCTGCCAATTTTCACATGCTTGGTACGACATGGTGAACAGGATTCTGAGCTATACACAAGGCTGTTTGATTGTCACAGTAGACCTTTAGAGGAGTCTTGTGTTCGGCTTGCAATTCTTCCAGAACTCTTCTGATCCAAATTGTCTCACAAATTCCATGTGCTAGTGCTCTGAACTCGGCTTTTGCACTACTGCGAGCAACAACACTATGTTTCTTACTTCTCCAAGTAACAATAGCCAAAAGTTGACCGCCTATCTTCGACTGAACCTGCCCAATCAACATCTGTAAAAGCCTTAATCTGCCTTTGTTTAGTCTTTCCAAAGAATAGACCTTTCCCTGGTGTCATTTTGAGATATCTCAAAATCCTATACACGGTAGCTAGGTGTTCTTCATAAGGAGAATGCATATACTGACTCACAACACTTACTGCAAATGCTATGTCAAGCCTGGTGTGAGATAGATAGATTAGTCTCCCTACTAACCTTTGATATCTCCCCCTATCTACTGGATCTCCTAACTCCTTCACTTTTCCATTCACTTCCACGGGGTTCTCAGATGGTCTACTACCAATCATACAAGTTTCCTTCAAGAGATCAATCGTATACTTTCTTTGGGAAATCAAAATGCCTTTTCTTGTACGAGCAACTTCCATTCCTAGAAAGTATCTCAGTTGCCCCAAATCTTTGACTTCAAATTCTCTAGCCAACACTTTCATCAAGTTTGACAGGTCTTCAAGGTTGTCCCCAGTTAAGATAATCATCCACATATACTATCAAAATCGAGACCTTACCATCTGAGTGTTTGTAGAACAATGTGTGATAAGCCTGTCCCTGAGTGAAACCAAAACTCCTGACTATCTTAGTGAAACGATCGAACCATGCTCGAGGAGATTGCTTAAGTCCATAGAGTGACTTCAACAATCTGCACGCCTTATTGCCTCCAAGTTCCCCTTCAAACCCAGGCAGTAAATCCATATACACTTCTTCTTCAAGTGTTCCATTAAGGAATGCAGTTTTTACATCCATCTAGTGTAGAGGCCAGTCTAGATTAGCTAGCTGCCAACAAGAGTAGTATCTTGATTGTGTTAAGTTTAGCAATTGGGGCAAAGGTTTCATTATAATCCAGTCCAAAAGTTTGTGTAAAACCTTTAACTACTAACCGAGCTTTATATCTTTCCACTGACCCATTTGAGTTGTATTTTACTGTGAAGACCCATTTACAACCCATTGGACATTTTCCTTTGGGTAGATATACAATTGCCCATGTACCATTCTTTTTCAAAGCTTCCATTTCTTCTAAAACTGCCTTCCTCCACTGTGGCTTTTCAAGTGCCTCATGTATACTTCCAGGAACCTCCTCAGCAGAAATCTTCTCAGTTACAGCTCGGAAAGCAAGTGACAAATGTTTGAAGGACATGAAGTTATACAACGGATGTTGGGTGCAGTTCCAAGTGCCTTTTCAAAGTGCAATAGGAACATCAAGATCACTAGCTAGTAGTTCTTCCTCTACTGTCTGAACCTCCTTCTCGTTGGATTCTTCAGCAACAATACATGCTTCATTCAGTTGTGTGTTTACCTCCGGTTCAGGCTCTTGACAGTGCTCCAGAGTTGTAATAGGCTTGTGTTGCTTTCGAGATTGCCCAGCTCGCCTAGAATAAACACGAAGTTCTTGTGATTCTTTTTGTGTGCTGCTTTGCACATGTGATTCTCCCCCTGTTTTCATATCATTAGACAACATAATAGGTAACACTGGACTCTTAGAAGGTAAACTAGGGGGCTCTGACTCTGTTTCAGATTGAATGGAGAAATCCCAAAGCTGCCCTGCATGTCTCACATTCTCCCCCTAAAGGGTAGGTTTGTAGTAACCTTGATTTTCAAAGAATGAGACATCCATGGATATGTATACCTTTTTTGTGACAAGACAGTAGCATTTAAAGCCTTTCTGACTTGGAGAGTAGCCTAAGAAAAGACACTTAATGGCCCTAGGATCAAGTTTGCTGTGTTGAGGTGAATTCGAGTGTACAAATGCAGTACATCCGAATGTTTTGAGTGGAAGATCATGAAGTAGACGAATTTGGGGATAAGACTTACGAAGGATAGACAATGGTGTTTGGTACTGAAGTACTCAAGACGGAAGACGGTTAATCAGATAGCAGGATGTAAGAACTGCTTCCCCCCAAAAAAACTTAGGAACATTGTTAGCAAACAAGAGTCCACAGGCCATTTCGAGTTAGTGCCTATTTTTACGTTCAACGACACCATTTTGTTGGGGGGTATCGACACAAGAACTTTGATGGAATATTCCATTCTCTGCTAGATATGGACCCAAAGTATTATTAAAATACTCTCGTCCATTATCTGTACGAAGAATTTAAATTTTTGTCTGAAACTGTGTTTCCACCATTTTATGGAAGTTTTGAAAAGTATTGACAACATTTGATTTTTCTTTTAGGAGAAATACCCAACTGACTCGAATATGATCATCAATAAAAGTTATGAGCCAACGTGCACCTGATATGTTATTTAATCTTGAGGGACCCCAAATATCACTATGAATAAGTGAGAAAGGTTTGAAAATTTTATAAGGTTGCAAAGAATAAGGAGCACGAGTATGTTTAGCAAACTGACATGTTTCATAGGCAAATGAGTGAACATCTTTATTGACAAATAATGAGGGAAACAACATTTTCAAATACAAAAAACTAGGATGGCCTAACCTATTATGCCATAACATAATTTCACTAGAAGTAGAGACAGAATCACAACTCAAAGCTTGAACTTGTTTATTCTTTGCAAGCCGAGAACCTTCAAATAGATATAGCCCATCAAACTCCTCAGCACTGCCAATCGTCTTCCCCGAAAGTAAATCCTGAAACTCACACAAAGAATGGGAGAACTTAGCGGTGCCGTTCGTATCTTTTGTTAACTTTGTAACTGACAAAAGATTGCAGGCAATGGTTAGTATATACAACACAGAGTGTAAAGTTATATAATAGAAATTCTCACTGTCCCTTTTCCTGTTACTGGTGCCAAAGAGCCACCGCAATTTTAATTTTCAAATCATTATCACAACATGGTTTGAAACTTGAAAAAATGCTCCTACTGTTTGTCATATGGTCTGAGGCTCCTGAGTCAACAATCCAACAAACTTTGTTAGTAGTTTAGTTAGGGCAGAAAGAAAATTACCCTTCTGTGCAACTACTACTGTCGGACTTAAGGATGACGAAGTTGAGGATGGAAGCTGGGATAGGATAAACTGAAGCTGTTCCGATTGTTCCCTGCTGAATGCCGAACCAAAACTGGGTTCTGAAATTTTTTCTCCTTCTCCAGATGAGGCTGTGAAGCCTCGGCTTTCTCCTGAATTCCGTTGGCGCCAGCGTTCACGTGCTGGCTTCCAGTCTGGTGGTTTTCCATGGATTTCCCAGCATGTGTCTTTGGTGTGTCCATGACGCTGGCAGCGATCACACCAAGGTCTATCACTCCTCTTTTGATTTCGGTGCTCTCCACCAGGTCTGAAATTTGTCTTGACAACCAAAACTGATTCTTGGTGTGGCGGTTTGGCGGTTCAGCAGTGGGTGTAGGGTTGATCTTCTTTTTCCCAAGCATTACTCTCTGCCGAGCTTCTTCACGTCTCACTTTAGCGAATGCTTCTTTAATTTCAGGGAATGGTTTGAAACCAAGCACACGACCTCGTACTTCATCCAATTCCTTATTAAGACCGAGTAAGAAATCAAATACTCGTTCTTTGTCAAGCATCTTCTTGAATTTAGCACTATCCGTAGAGCAGCTCCAATTGAAATCCTGATATAGATCTAATCCCTGCCATAAGACTTGTAATTCGTTATAATGCTCTGTTACACTTAGATTACCTTGCCTCGTTTCTCTTAGGGCAGATTTCAATTCGAAAATCTGGGTTGAATTCCCATCTCCCGAATCGCGTTTGTTGTTTTGTAGTAGAGGTAAACACAGCTAATTGATGGTTCCATAGAGTTCAACAGCCATGCCTTCACCATGGAATCTTCAGATTTCCACTTTTTGTAGGCTGGAGTTCCAACCTCAGGTCGTAAGGCTTCTCCTGTTAAGTAGTCCAGCCGTCGGCTTCTCCTGTCAAGTAGTCCAGCCGTCCTTTTCCATCAATCACAAGGACAACCGACTAAGACCATTCTACATAATTCACACCATTCAACTTATGTTGTGTAATCTACAGAGAATGGCTGTCGTTGATATTGTGGATGATTTGTTGGGGTGTGGCTACAGTTGACGTCAAGGTTTGCCCGCTTGTGGCGTTGGAGGCAACTTCCCGAGAGGCCCCAGTTATGGCCCCAGTCATGGCCGTTTTCGCCATTAGAAAGAGCAAGGGAAAAACTCAGTCCCGCTCTGATACCATAAAGATTTTAAGAGGAAATGATTTCTTATTTCCTTGATTTAGTTTATAGTGAAGGTTCTTTAAATAGAGAGAACAAAAAAATAAAAATATGGTAATTTCTTATTACCACGTTTATTCTCCTAGAAACTACCAAAAATACTACAAAGAAATTAAGAAATAAACATAAAGTCAAAATACTAAATTGAGACACAAAATCCATGGGAATCACTCAGATATCCCCATGGAATCACACGGATTTGCTACAAAAATCTTATACTATTATTTGCTTAAGTTTGATGGATGTTATTGTATTTTACCGTGTTATGAATTTTAAATTATTTCTAATATGTAAAAAACTGAAGTATATAATTTTCGTTTCAATTTCGGGTTCACAGGTCATTTTCGTGTCGTGTCGTGTCAACCCGTAAAGTGGTCGTGTCGTGCTCGTGCTACGGTTTTTAAAAAATTTCGTGTCACAAGTCGTGTTCGGGTTCACTGTAAATTTAAGAAGAAAAGACCAAAACACGACACGAACACGATACGTTACACGAATTGCCACCCCTAAGAGAAGAATCTCATCTAAAACAAGGTAATCGCTCGGTCACTGAATATGCCCATAGTTTACAAAACTTATGGCAAGAGTTGGATCATTATCAGTGTAGTGAGATGAAGTGTAGAGATGACGCAGCCCTTCTTAAGCATTTTATTGAGTAAGAAAGAATTTACACCTATCTCGCCGAATTGAACATTGAGTTTGATCCTGTTCGAGTACAAGTTTTAGGAAAGGAAGAAATTCCTTCTCTTAATGAAACAATTGCCATTATTCATGGAGAAGAACGGTGAAGAGGAGTCACGCTGAAGACTCAATCAGCAGACGGTTCAGCCTTGGTTACAAAAGTTGCAAATCCTAAAGCTATGAAATCAGACTAGCAACAGCCGAATGTCTATTCCAACGGAGTAGGAGGAAATAATGGGTTGTTAGGAGGATCAAGAACGGGTAACAAAGACTCTTTATGGTGTACCTACTGCAAGAAGCCATGACACAGCAAGGAGAGGTGTTGGAAACTCCATGGCAAGCCCTCAAATACTCAAAATACTTCTTGGATGGCAAAGAGTAATCAAGGAGGGGGACAAGGACAAGCAAATTTAACCTCGGCACAAGCAGGAAGAGAAGGAGAGTTCTCCCTTGAGCGATCCGAGTTCAATAAAGAAGAGATTGAGAAGCTGAGATATTTTCTGGGAAAATTAAAGAAACCTATAGGAGGTGCAAGTACTTGTTTCTTGGCTATTGCAGGTAATTCTCAGCCCTATGTACTTAGTGTGTCGATCTCAAAAGGAACTTGGGTTGTGGATTTCGGGGCTACATATCATATGACCCAATCTTCTCAGAGGTTTGTTTCTTATAATCCTTGTCCTAGTAATAAGAAAATTGCTACTGCTGATGGAACATTGGTTAGTTGCTGGTCGAGGGGATGTGGTCATAAATCAAAACTTTATTTTAAAAAATGTGCTGCACGTGCTAAAATGGAAAATTGTCAACCAGTTTAATTTCAGTTCACAAATTCGCAAAGGATTTGAACTGTATGGTGACGTTTTCTCCTTCACTTTGTAAATTTTAGGACCAGAGTTCGGGGACGATGATTGGACTTGCTAGGGAGAGGAATGGGCTCTACTTTCTTGAGGAACCTAGTGGGCAAAATAGCATTGAGGATCCTATTCCATTGTCACTACTTTCTGAGTCTTCTCTTTCCATTAAAAATAAAATATGGTTATATCATTTTCGTCTTGGTCATCCTTCCTTCAGTACTCTTAAAATAATGTTTCGTGCTTTGTTTACAAGATTTGATGTGGGTGAATTTCATTGTGATGTTTGTGAACTTGCAAAACGTAAGCGTATTTCTTTTCCAATAAGTAATACAAGAGCTTCAACACCATTTATTCTAATTCACAACAATGTTTGGGGCCCTTATACAGTCTATAATATTTCTGGGGCACGCTGGTTTATCTCATTTATTGACGATTGTACTCGAATGCCATGGGTTTTTCTCTTTAAATAAAAATCATATGTTAGTTCCACTTTTTAGAATTTTTTACACCTGGTGAAAAATCAATTTGGGGGTGAGATAAAGAGTTTGATTTGATAATGCTAGAGATTATTTTAATCAAGTGTTGTCGCCATTCTTCAAAGAAAAATGAGTCTTTCATGCATCAGCACACCACAAGAAAATGGAGTGCATAACGAAAAAATGGTCATCTTCTAGCTGTTACACAAGCCTTTCTTTTCCAAAAAAAAAAATGTTCCAAAAAATTATTAGGGAGAAGTTGTCTTAACCGCTACACATCTGATTAATAGATTACCCAGTCAAGTTCTTGACAATAATAACCCCATGCAACTATTCTCAATTTTTCCCCGACTTCAAAACTACAAATCACCTAGTTCCTAGGGTCTTTGGATGTGTCTTTTGTGCATATTCATTCGAACAACCATGGTAAACTTGATCCAAGAGCTCTTAAGTGTGTTTTTGTGGGATATTCTTCTACACATAAAGGGTATAAATGTTATCATCCTCTAACAGAACAGTTTTGTCTCTGTAGATGTTACATTTGTTGAAGCTGAGAATTACTTTCCAAATCCTTATCTTCAGGGGGAGATATCATTCATGGTAGATAAGGATAGAGATTTGTTTTTGCTTGATCTTTCATCTTCCCCATCCTCACAAAATCATAATCCTTCATCGTCATCCATTTCCGTTCCATCACCAAATGAACCAAATCCAAGTACTCCGAGTTTAGCAGCAAAGGATAAACAGATTCAAAGTGCTACTCGACCATTGCAGGTATATTCAAGGAGGAAAGAGCCCCAAGTTCATCCAATGCATGTTCTTGACTCAGAACCAATCTCTGGTGCTAATAATGTTGAGGTACCTCTTAATCCTGAGGATCATGAAAGACATGTGCCTGTTGTTGATGATTATGATCTTCCTATTGCAATTAGAAAAGGTGTTAGGAATTGTATTCAGCGGCATGTATATCCTATCTCACTTTGTGTCCTATGAAAAGCTGAGCAGTAGTCATAAATGTGGAAATCTATTATTCTTTCCTTATTTTACGATATGTATAGCTGTAAATTAGATGTTTTCTTCCTGTAATTAGGAGATATAGGTAGTTAACACCTTGTTTATTTTATTTCCTAGTTTAGAGAGATTTGGTTACTTTATTTCCTAGATTAGAGTAATTTGATTCCGCGTATTATCTCTGAAATCCCAGGAGTAATGGACCTGATTGTGTACTTTCCTTGTATTTAAGTATCGTGTATTTTCTCGTTTGATGAATGAAGAAATTAGCCATTCACTCATAAAAACTACATGGTATCTGAGCCACCTTCTGAACCGTAAAATCTCCTTTAATGACCAAGTACGGAATGGCCACCGAAAAACAATCATCTGCTCAAACTAACTAGCCACGTTCTCAACCTCATCTGAAGTCGCCTCCAATTCAGAAGCAATAATCTCTTCCAATAATGGAGGCTCAGATGGAAATTTTCCACCCATTACAAGTCACAAATTGAATGGAAAGAATTATCTCCAGTAGTCACAATCGGCCATGATGTTCATACGTGGCAAAGGAAAGGATGATGTGGTTTTGAATGAGAATTATGTATTTAGTTGAGCCAAAACATGGCTATTTATACACGGTATATAGGCTGCCTTTACAGCTATGATTACATCAGAAAAAGGAAACAAAAAACTATTTAGGAAACAAATCACCTAATTAAGAAACAGGAAACTAATTACACATTAATCCTTGAAAGTCAACTATCTACTTCCCTAAAATGTATTCCGATTCTTTCCTATTTTCTGACTCCCCCTCAAGCTGATGAGTATACATCTTTCATTCCCAGCTTGGAGATAATTCCTTAGAATGCTACGTTATCCAAATCAGTCCACTATCCAACTTTTCCTTTATAAAATTCCGATCCACCTCAATATGCTTTGTTCGGTCATGTTGAACAAGATTATGAGCTATACTTATTGCAGATTTGTTGTCACACAGTAGCCTCATAGGTCATTCCCACTTGATTTCTAAATCCTCTAGGATTATCTTGATCCACAGTAACTCGCATATCCCTAGTGCCATTGCCCTGAACTCGGCCTCTGCGCTTGCTCTTGCTACCACGTTCTGTTTCTTACTTCTCCACGTCACAAGATTACCTCCAAGAAATGTGCAATAGCCTAAGGTAGATCTTTTATCAATAGGAGAGCCTGCGTAATCTGCATCGGTATAGACGTCAAGTGACATTCCACCATTCCTTCTGAATAGAACACCTCTACCAGGATTTCCCTTCAGGTAGTGTAGTATTTTGTTTACCGCGTGCAAGTGAGCCTCCTTGGGAGCTTGCATAAAATGACTCACAACACTCACGGCAAATGCAATGTCTGGTCTGGTATGAGTTAAATAAATGAGCTTTTCAACCAGCCTTTGATACATCTCCCTGTCTGCTGCTGGACTCTCACTTGCTTCTTCCAGTTTTTTATTTATGTCAATCGGTGTGGATGCTGGTTGGAATGCCAATTTCCCCGTCTTTCTTAAGAGGTCTGTGACATACTTCTGCTGTGAAATAAGGAACCCTTCACTGGAGCGAGCTACTTCAATCCCTAAGAAATACTTCAGTCTACCAAGCTCCTTCGTCTCAAATTCCTTGGCTAGACACTTTCTCAAGGCCTCTTTTTCCTTCTCGTCATTCCCAGTCATAATTATGTCATCAACATATACCAAGAGAGCTGTCACTCCCCCTGAATCTGAGTGCTTGATGAAGAGTGTATGGTCTCCCTAACTCTGTCTGTATCCAGTGGCTAGCATTACGTTTGAGAATCTTCCAAACCAGGCTCTAGGAAATTACTTAAGAGCATATAATGCCTTGATCGCCTGAATTGTTGCCTATTAAGCCGGACCTTTTCTATTGTTATTTGCCTTGATAGGCTCCATGGCAAAACCATCTGGTGTTTGTTCATTAGCACTCTCAGGTAAATCATCATTCACCTTTGGTTTACATGTCTCAGAAAAGTGTTCTATCAATTTTTGAATAATCGATTCAGGGGCCACCGACTACATGACTTATTCCTCACAATGTTTCAATACCTATACTCCATGTCCAAGCAAATGGTTCTCTTTCCACAGTTGCAGGTTTAGGTGATATTCAAGTAACACCATCTATTATTTTTAAAGATGTCCTTCATGTTCCTAAGTTATCGGATAATCTTGTCTCCATTCAAAAAATCACAAAAAATATGAATTGTCACACTGTTTTCTATCCCTCTTATTGTGTTTTTCAACACTGAGTTTCAAGGAGGAGGATTGGGCTTGCGAAGAAGGGCATACTTTATTATCTTGAGACACCAATTAATTCAAGGAAAGTCATAAATAATTTGTCTGTCTTTTCTCAGCTCTTTAAATAAAGATGCTATCTGGCTTCACCATTTTCGTCTTGGTCATCCATCATTTAAAGTTTTAAATAACATGTTTCCGGCTTTGTTCAAAGGATTAAATATTACAGATTTTCATTGTGATATTTGCGAACTTGCGAAACATACCTGTGCATCTTATCCTATTAGTAATAAAAGAAGCTCTCATCCTTTTATTGATGATTGTACTAGGGTTACGTGGTTATTCTTGCTCAAAAACAAATCCGATGTGAGTAGTGTTGTACCTAATTTCCATTCAATGATTCAAAATCAATTTGGGGTAAAAAGCAAAAGCTTTAGGTCTGATAATGCGAGAGACTATTTTAATTAAATATTGTCTCCATACTTTCAAAAGGAAGGAATTATTATGAATCCTCTTGCATAAGCACACCCCAACAAAATAGGATCGCTGCGAGGAAAAATGGGCATTTGCTAAACACTACTCGGGCTTTATTATTTGAAGGGAATGTTTCCAAGTCCTATTGGGAGGAAGTTATCCTTACTGCTACCTATGTGATTAATAGATTACCCTCAAGAGTGCTAGATTTTAAAACTCCCATGGAAGTCCTTACAAAATTCTACCCACACGTGAGAATCTCAACTAGCCTAATCCCTAGAATTTTTTGTACTGCCTTTGTTCTGTCCATAGTCAAAACCGGGGGAAATTGGACCCTAGAGCGATTAAGTGTGTGTTTATTGGTTACTCATCCACCCAAAAGGGATATAAGTGTTACGATCCTTCCTCGAGAAAGTTCTACAAATCCGTTGATGTCACCTTTGCTGAAAACAAGCCATACTTCATGCAATCTTATCTTTAGGGGGAGACATTACTAATGGAAGATAAAGACTTTGTTCCTCTTGATCTACCCTCATCATCATCGGTTCCTCTTGAAATGCCCTCATCATCATCGGTTCCTCTTGATCTACCATCCATCATCATCATCAGTTCCTCCGGTTCCTCTTAATCTGCCCTCATCACCATCAGTTCCATCTCCACCATCTGCTTCTATTTTTGAAAGCCCCTCTCAAAGTGTCATTGTTGAAACACGTCCTAAATCAAACCCCAGAACTATTCTTGCTCGTGTCTAATCCAATGTCTGTCCTTATTTATGACTCGTATCGATTTGAAAAGGTGTACTCAAGAAGGAGAGATTTTCCTAATCCTGCACAAGTCTAAAATTCCAACCTGAGCCCTGCTAAGGAAAACACGGTAAGTCCTGCTTCTCCTTTGAATTCATTATCTGCTGAAC